GCCAGGCCTCAGTTTCCCCTGCTGACTCACTTCACTGCCGACCACAACTATTTACCCAAGGGGACGTGGAAAACAAAGCCGGAGGTCGAAGTGGGGGCATCCCCCCCCACCCCAGAGCAGCTGAGGCCTGGCGGAAGCCCCTCTGGATGCTCACTGGCCTCAGGGGGCAGCCTGGGCTTAAAGGCACAGCCAGGCGGGAGTCCAGCCCCTCTGCGCTGGGAGGCTCTCGGACACAGCAAGCCCACCCCCTGCGTCCTGCTCTGCCAGCTGGCCTCCCCCAGGAGGAGCCAGGTCCGAGTTCTGTGGGCTCCTGCCAGCCTGGGCTGGGCCCCAGCTGGGTCCCCTCGCGCCCGGGGCTCCCTGGTGTCCGGGACCCTGGTGTAGCAGGAGTGAATCAGCCCCTTCAGGGGCCGGCCTGCTCTCCCACGGGGTGACTGGGCCTTGCCGGGCTCCCACCCAGCCTGCTCCCACACTTCCTAGCCCGCCCCAGCCCCACCCTGATCAACTCCTTCTGCACTTAGTCACCCACATTTATGGGGCACCTACTACCCTCCCCCGGGACAGGCAGGCCCCACCCTATGAGCCGACAGAGAAGAAACCCCTAAGACTGCAGGACGCTGTAGGTGATAGGCTAGATGGGCAAGGCCCACTTCTTTAGCCAGGACTCACCTGAAGTGAGTCCCTTCGGACTTCTGGGGCCTGAAGGCCAAGGTTCTCCTGGAATGTGAAGGGGTTCGGCCTTGAGGACTGAGATGTTGGGTGGCATCACTGACTCAGTGGACATGAGTCTGAGCAAACTCCTGGAGTTAGTGCAGGACAGGGAAGCCTGGCGTGTTGCAGTCCATGGGTCACAAAGAGTCAGACACTACTGAGCAACTGAAGAACTGGCCTTGAGGCAGAGCAGGGGTTTTCCAGGCAGGTGGGCGGCACCTTTGAGCAGGGAGGGCTCCCAGCAGAAGGGCTGAGTTGACTTGTTTTGACAGGGTCCCCTCGGACGGAAGGAGGCTGAGGCTGAAGCTGTAGCCTGGAGGGGCCGGGGCAACCTGGCCCTGGGAGGGGGGAAGGAGTGGCGAGGAGGGGGGCAGGGTGCTTGCACAGAGTCCTGGGCGTGATGTGATGGGTGCTGCTGACTCCTCTGCGTCTCACGTGGCCTCCTCCTCCAGGAAGCCTCTCCTGCCCACTCACCTCTGGTCCTCAGAGCAGGCTCCAGGGGCTTGTCAGTTGAATTACCCAGTTAAGCTGCTCAGAAGAGCTGGCTGACCATCCAAGTCCCCTGGCCAGGGATGAAGGGGCTCCCCACCACCCCCACCTGCATCCAAGGCCCGCGCCATCCTGTGAGAGGCAGAGATTTCTAGCAGAACTTGTGTCAGCTTTCACCAAGGCTTGGGAATTCACAAAAGCAGAGCCTTCCCTTCCCAGACCGGGATGAGGCCTCTCTGCTCCAACTCCGTGGGCAGAGCCCCATCTCTTCTCTGAGCTCGGTTCCCTACCTGAAAAGTGGGCTGACGGTGCAGCCTTCCTCACTGCGCAGATCCATGAGACAGCTTTTCGCCCACAGGACCTGCCTCTTTAAAAACTTGCCTTAACTACACAAATAATATTTGAATATGTGAATGACTCAAACCACAGAGAAGGTGCAGGGAATGAAGAATTCCTTCCTCCTCCTCCCTGACCTTCTCTCCAGGAGGCCCCGCAACCCACACATCGTTGTGTGGCTTCCAGTATTTTGCAAACATCATGAGGGACTTTCCTGGGGGTCCAGGGGTTAAGACTCTGTGTTCCCAGCACCAGGGGCCTTTGATCCCTGGTCAGGGAACGAAGATCCTGCTTGCCACAGAGTGTGACCAAAACCAAAACACATATATATATATGCTTTTCCTTTTAACATTTTTATGCTGAAATGTTGAAAATTAATCCTAGGAACTCAGTTATTGAGGGCAGCTCCGTGCCCAGCACAGCGGAGTCCTGACAGAAAGCCGTAACTTCTCAAGGACAGCTCTCTGATCCCCACCGACAGATGGGGAGACTCGGCCTCTTTATAGGAGGCTGCGGCTGCTTGATATTAATACCTGGGATGAGCATGAGTCACGGGCAGCTGTAGATTTCTGTCCTGAACTGGAGCCAGGCAGGAATCTCCCTGGCGGTCCAGTGGTTAGGACTCTGCCCTTCCACTGTAGAGGGCACAGGTTGAATCCCTGATCAGGGAACTAGATCCTGCAAGCTTCGAAGGAAAAAAAATTTAAACAAGGACCTGTTGAGAGTGTTGTTCAGTTGTGTCCGATTCTTTAGGACCCCATGGACTGCAGCACATCAGGCTGCCCTGTCCTTCACCATCTCCCAGAGCTTACTCAAACTGATGTCCATTGAGTCCGTGATGCCATCCAACCATCTCATCCTCTGTCATCCCCTTCTTCTCCTGCCCTCAGTCTTTCCCAGCATCAAGGTCTTTTCCAATGAGCTGGCTCTTCACATCAGGTGACCAATGTATTAGAGCTTCAGCTTCAGCATCAGTCCTTCCAATGAATATTCAGGGTTGATTTCCTTTAGGATGGACTCATTGGATCTCCTTGCAGTCCAAGGGACTGTCAAGAGTCTTCTCCAACCCAGAAGGATGGGATGGGGAGGGGAGTGGGAGGGGGGGATCAGGATGGGGAACACATGTAAATCCATGGCTGATTCATGTCAATGTATGGCAAAAACCACTACCATATTGTAAAGTAATTAGCCTCCGACTAATAAAAATAAATGAAAGGGAAAAAAAAGAGGCTTCTGCAACACCACAGTTCAAAAGCATCAGTTCTTCCGTGCTCAGCCTTCTTTATGGTCCAACTCTCACATCCATACCTGACTACTGGAAAAACCATAGCTTTGACTATATGGACCTTTGTCAGCAAGTGATGGCTCTGCTTTTTAATACAAGGGGAACACTATTACAATTGCGCTGAGATGACAGGGACTGTCCTGAGCAAATACTCTGAGTCAGGGCTTTTTCAAGTGACAAAGCCCTGTCTCCAGTTGGCCTAATCCTAAAACTAAATGATTTAAATATTAAATAAAATACTAAATAAGAGACTTATATTTTAATATAAATATTAGATAAAATATTTAGTAATTAAATAGTAAATTAAAAAATAAAAATCCAGCTGGCTCACTTAATGAGAGAGCCGGAGTCCTCAGGCACGGCTGTCTCCAAGGATCCCCCATGGACCCAGAGATGCTATCAAGAGTGTCTCACAGTGGTGGGGGGCATGGGGGGGTGTGAGGGAGGTGTGCCCTAGGCTGCAGGCCTACACAAGGTCCCCTCTGAGAGCCAGCAGGGCCCCGGGCGTGGGGGAGGATGCAAGCCTTCCAGCTGGGAAAAGGCCCCACGATTATTTTGTGCTCCCCTCGGACGGTCACCGAGGACATTTCCAGTTCTTTATTATTAAAAACACAGCAGTATCATATTTTCATAATTTAAAAAAATACAGAGAAAAACCCCGCAACAGTGATGGTATATTTGGTAGTTAGCCCGCATTGTCTTCCAAGGCAGACCTCACTTTAGTGCACTGCGCTTCCCGGTGCTTCACAGACACTGCGTATCTCTCAGGCTGGTGGCTACCCCACGCCGAGCGAGTCTACTGGCACCATTTCCCAACTGCATTTCCTCCCTTTGTGTCTCTATATCACATTCTGGTAATTCTCGCAATACTTCCAACTTTCTCATTTATATTTGTTGTGATTTCCGTCATCAGTTATGCTCCCACTGCAACTCACCGAAGCCAAGATAACACTTGTCATTTTTAGCAATGAAGTATCTTTTTTTCATAAATTGATTTATTCTTTGACGGTATCAGGTCTTAACTGCAGCACAAGGGTCTTCAGCTGCGCCAAGAAAACCCTTAGCTGCGGCATGTGGGATCTAGTTCCCCCACTAGGGACCGAACCCCAGCCTCCTACCTCGGGAGCGTGGGGTCTCAGCCACTAGACCACCAGGGAAGCCCCACAATGAAGTAGTTTTTTAATTAAGGTATGTACCTTGCTTTTTTTTAAAGAGATGGGGATACCAGACCACCTTATCTGCCTCCTGAGAAATCTGTATGCAGGTCAAGAAGCAATAGTTCAAACCAGACTTGGAACTACAGACTGGTTCCAAATCGGGAAAGGAGCACTTGGTCAAGGCTGTACACTGTCACTCAGCTTATTTAACTTTTATTCAGAGTACATCATGAGAAATGCCAGGCTGGCTGAAGCACAAGCTGGAATCAAGATTGCTAGGAAAAATATCAATAACCTCAGATATACAGATGACACCACCCGTATGGCAAAAAGCGAAGAGGAACTAAATAGCCTCTTGATGAAAGTGAAAGTGGAGAGTGAAAAAGCTGGCTTAAAGCTCAACATTCAGAAAACAAAGATCATGGCATCTGATCCCATCACTTCATGGCAAATAGATGAGGAAACCAAGTCTCTTGCTTAAAAACAGCAAGAGACTTTATTTTCTTGGGCTCCAAAATCGCTGCAGATGGTGACTGCAGCCATGAAATTAAAAGACGCTTGCTCCTTGGAAGAAACGCTATGACCAACCTAGACAGCATATTAAAGATCAGACACATTCTTTTACAGACAAAGGTCCATCTAGTCCAAACCATCTATGGTTTTTCCAGTAGTCATGTATGGATGTGAGACTTGGACTATAAAGAAAGCTGAGCGCTGAAGAACTGAGGCTTCCGAACTATGGTGTTGGAGAAGACTCTTGAGAGTCCCTTGGACTGCAAGGAGATCAAACCAGTCAATCCTAAAGGAAATCAGTCCTGAATATTCATTGGAAGGACAGATGCTGAAGCTGAAACTCCAATACTTTGGCCACCTGATGCAAAGAGCTGACTCATTGGAAAAGGCCCCGATGCTGGGAAAGACTGAAGGCGGGAGGAGAAGGGAACGACAGAGGATGAGTGAATGGCATCAACCGACTCGACGGACATGAGTTTGAGCAAGCTCCGGGAGTTGGTGATGGACAGGGAAGCTTGGCATGCCGCAGTCCATGGGGTTGCAAAGCGTCCGACATGAGCAACTGAACTGAACATGGTTTTTTTAGACATATGACTATTACACAGTTAGTAAACTTTGCTGTAGTGTGAATGTAATGTTCACATGCCTGGGGAAGCCAAAATATTTTTGTGTCTCCTTTTATTGCAATACTTGCTTTATCGTGGTGTCCGGAACGGAGCCTGCAGTATCTCTGAGGTCTGCCTATAAAATTAAGGTTGAATTCTCTCATAAAACTGTAAAGAGTTAAGCGTGAACAAAAACCATAGCAGTGAGCATCGTACATGGAACCTGGCACTCGGGCCAGTATTCATCTGGAGTAAGATACCCCCAAAAGGTACTGCTGGACCCAACATCACGAGTGTTTTCCCCGCCGGTGGGCCCCACCCAGCCTCCCGCGTGAGTGGGGGCCTGACTCCTGACCTTGTCGGCACAGGCTGTTTTCCGTCTCCTAGTTTTTGCCGTTAGGAGAATTATTAGAGCTGATTATCTTCAGGAGTTTACCGGCCAACCTGTGAATTGCCTATTCGTACCCGTCGCCCATCTTCCTGGGTTAGTCCTTCTAATTGGCTGCAGGAGCTCCTCATTCATTCTGAATACAGACCCTTGGAGGCCAGGTGGGCTTTGGCCCGGTCCAGCTCAAAAGTGGAAGCGCAGGGCCCAGGTGAGGTGGGGGTGGGAGGGACGTTCCCAGCCTCTTCCCTGATTCTGGCCACTTCCCATACTGGCCGTGGCAAAGTCTGCCCCTGGAACACCTTCCTTTTGAGATCCAAAAATCCACCAGACTCATTTCACAGGTAAGTGACTGGCACTCAGACAGGTGCGGTTATATACAGCTGGTGAGCAGTGACTAGAGGCCAGTTCATTTGGCACCAACCTCCCCCAGGAGGCTCTCTGCCACCCATTCCCCGTGCAGTGTGCACCCCGAACTATGCTCCCAGGCCTAGGCCACCTGCCACATGCCCTCTGCTCTGATGCCACGGGCCAGCCTTGCTGGCGGCAGCCGGGACTCAGGTCAGGGAGGATCTCCGTGTGGTCAATGAACTCCTCTCAAGGCGTACCCTGTACCCCTTGTCACTCTCAGCAGACGACCCTGGAAACAGAAACCATCCAAGCAGACTTCTGACTCACCTGTCCTTGTGCTCTCATTGGCACCCATGCCCAACCCTATGCCACCCAGGAAGAGGGGTCCATGCTGGAGGCCGGGGCCTCCCCTCCACGCCTGCTGGCCGTCCCTGAGGGCCCGAAGGTCCTGGCTCCACAGGTCTTTCCTGCATCAGTGTTTTGGCCCATCACTGTCCTGCTCACATGAGCACACAGCACAGACAGCCATGACCACAGTGCACATGTGTCCGTATGTGCACACACGTATGTATTCAATTTTCACTCTTTCATTCTTTTTTATTAATTTTTTTGCCAAACCATGAGACTTGTGGGATCATGGTTCCCCTACTAGGGATGGGAACTGGGCCCACTGAGTGAAAACGCCGAGTCTGAACGCTGGACTGCCAGGGAATTCCCGTCTCTTGCATTCTTTAGCCCCGTTCACCTCCCCCCCCCCCTTTTCCTCTGCTCCTACACATCTTTCCCAGCCCTTCCCGCACTCTCCTGTCCGCAGGCTTCTCCGGCCGCCCGTGACCTTCTGGAAGGGGCACCATGACCTCCAGTAGCCAAGCCCTCCTGACCCTCCGGTAGCACTTGTCCCAGGTGACCACCCCCTCCTCCACAGGGTGCCCGGGCCCTCCGGCCCGAGGGCCTCTCCCCGCTCCTGGCTCCGCCTGCATCCTCTCCCTACCTCGTGCGCTGCATGTCAAGCCTGGCCTCCCAACCTTCCCTCCCGTGTCAGGCTTCCAGTACCTTCTCTCTATCACCGGCCAGGGCTTCTCCCTCCACTTCCCCTTGCCATGAAGCCCCAAAGTGGCTGACAGGCGTCTTCAGGGACCCCCCCACCCCCTGCTCCTCCCCACCCTTCCACAGGCTCAGCCTGACTGGGAGGCATTCTAGACTGTTCTCTCCCTCTCAGACCCAGCCCGGTTGACCCACGTGCACACAATTCACTGCTTCTGCTTCTCCCCTGTGAGCTCCCTGCCGCTGACCCCAGCCACCCCTTCCCAGGCCAGTCGGCTACTGGGGCTTCTACCCTCTGCCCCTGGGGTTGGCTCCCTGAAGCCAGAGGGGCCTGAGAAAAGACCCCCGGCCCCCGCCGGGCCCCCGCTCAGAGCCCCTGCTCCCCCAGTCCTCGCACTGACCCTTGGGTCCCTCTGGACCTGGGCGCACGTGGACACCTGCTGGCAGGTGAGACGAGCTCTCCCAGGAGAGAGGGGAGTGTGTCTCGGGTTGGGTCCGAGTGGGAGCATGACAGGGTCAAAGGTCAAAGCCATATTTAGAAGGCCGTCTGCCCACCCTCAGGTCCCCCCTTAGTCTGTGGAAACTGAGCCCTCTGTCCCGGCTTGCGCCCGCTCCCCACCCCCAGCCCCTTCACTGCCCACCGAGCCCATCTGCCCTCCCGGGGAAGCTCTGTTCCCAGCCCCGTCCACAGCCCCAGAGGGCAGGTCGCACCTGCCCCCACGGCCACCCTGGACGGCTCGCAGCCGTCACAGCCCCACGGAGGCACGGGGAGGGCGTTCACAGTAGCTCCGGGGCCCCACACCCGTGCTGGGCACAGGCAGCTCTCGCCAGTAGAAGGTTCCTCCTCAGGGATGGCGCGGGACCCAGAGCAGCACGTACCCCAGAGGGCGAGCCCGAAAGTGAGCTGGGAGAGAAGGGCAGCCTGTCGAGGCTGGGAGCTGACGGAGCCTACGGAGAAGGTTTCAAGGTCCGCCACCGCTGCGGGGAGCGCCAGCGCCAGGCTGGGCCGCCAGACGGGCACACCGGCCTTCAGACGTCCCCACGGGTTCGTTCCTAACCTGGGTCACGGGTTCCCAGGCATTGAAAAGTTATTAATACTATTATTTATACCTAAAATAATCCACCCCCTCCGCCTGCATGTCCTCAGGACAAACCCCAGCTCCTCATCCTGGCCTTCAAGGCCTTAGGCTTCCCTCCCACTGCCCTCGGCAACCGCCCTCGGCCACGGTCCAGACCTTTGCCCCCAGTTTGAGTCCTGACCAGGAACACCTTTCCTCTGCCTCACCTGCTCTTTCTGGCTAAGTCCATTTCTAAGGGCAGCTTCTAAGTAGTGGAGCAACAGGGCCAGACTTGATGTTGAGAGAGGCCTTCAGAAAGGCTCTTTCCCTTTGGGAAAGCCAGCAGCAAGCAGTGGGGAGGGCAAGTCGAAGCGGAGGGCCAAGAGGGCGGGGGGTGGAGAGACAGCTGCCCAGAGGCCAGCTGCACGGCAGGCACCTCCAGGCGCTGCCCCTCACCCTCTGTCCACTGGTAGCCGCGGAGACGGTGTGAGGTCTCGCCTCTGGCCCTTGAGGAGTAGACAGGCACTGGCAGCCGTGTGGTTAGCGTCTTGAACCACAGGGAGCTCACTTGGGACACCACCCCATTCGATTGTCTCCCAGGGCCTGCGGGCTATGAAAGGCCAAACGTCAACCCCAGAATTTCCATTTGCCTTGTCCCCAGTCAGAAACATCAGGAACGGGACAGCTGAGAGAAAATGTAGGACTGAGACCTAAAGAGGGGAGGACACAATGAAAGGTGAAGCGGGGCAGAGGTGGAGCCTGGACTCCCAGCCCAGTGTCCCCTGGACCCCCAACCTTGGTCCATGACCATCTCTGTACATCTGGTGCTGGTCATGGCTGCCCAGGTGGCGCCAGTGGTAGAGAATCCACCTGTCAATGCAGGAGATGCAAAAGACACAGGTTCGATCCCTGGGTTGGGAAGATCCCTTGGAGTGGGAAACGGCACCTCACTGCAGTATTCTTGCCTGGAAAATTCCATAGACAGGAGAGCCTGGTGGGCTACGGTCCATGGGGCCACAGAGAGTCAGACATGACTGAGCAGGCATGCACTATGGTGCTGATCATGGATCCCCGCAAAGGCATGGTAGGGCCTGCAGGGCCATGTTGCACTAAGGTAGGTGGCAGGATCTGGTGGGATCTTGGGCATACGTGTGCTACTTGTAGAAAGGCCGGTCTGCCAGGGCACCTTCAACCATAAATGTCTGAAGAAAAGAAACACAAGTGTCCAGCTTCCCTTTTGTGTGCTCCTCACTTGAAGGACCGATGCTGAAGATGAAGCTCTAATGCTTTGGTCACCTGATGCGAAGAGCCAACTCAATAGAAAAGACTGATGCTGGGAAAGATTGAAGGCAGGAGAAGGGGACGACAGAGGAAGAGATGGTTGGATGGCATCACTGACTCGATGGACTTGAGTTTGAACAAACTCCGGGAGATGGTGAAGGACAGGGAAGCCCGGAGGGCCGCAGTCCACGGGGTCGCAAAGAGTCGGACAAGACTGAGCAACTGGACAACAGCAACATACGGAGGTCACCTCCCTGTGAGACCCGATTTCATGGTTGGTCAATCAAGGGTCATAATTCCCACCGCCACTGGCTGTGAAAATGGAATGAAATCAAGCGTGTTTAGCACAGCGATTGGTGCACCGGCACTGATAAGTGATTGTCTGCATCCGGTTCACCATCCATTCCCTGGGAAAGTCAGCCTGGAGCAGGGGCTCCAGATGCCCGGACCCTTAGGGGTCACAGCTCCTTCTCCCCGCTCCCTCCACGTGCGGTCCCGGGAAAACAGTCCCGGAGGTCATCCCCAAGGTCGCAGAGGGTCCGTGCAAAGGGGACGTGGAAGGCGTCTGGTGGGGTGCCGAGGACAGTCCCGCTCGGCGGAGCCCGGGCGCCTCAGTGCGAGCGCCGACTCGCTGAGCGGAGGCACCGCAGGCCGGGGGGGCCCTGCCGGCGTGGGTGGCGCCCCCGCCTGGAGCCCGGAGCCCTTCTCTGCCGGCGACTCGGGTTTCCGGGAGCCCCGCCCCGCTCGCTCCCATCGCGGCCCCGCCCCCCACGCGCCCGCAAGTTTCTCCCAACTTTTCCGCGGGTCCCCCCGGGTGCCCCGCCCGCCGGCCGGTGACGTAACAATGGTGCAGCGCGGTGGCCAATAGAAGGCGGCGGAGGCCGGCGGCGCGGACCAATGGCGGCGGCGGGCGGCCNCGCGGCCCCTCCAGCCCCCAAGGTGAGTCCCCCTTCCTCGGCCCGCTGCGCGTGCGGCTCCCGCCCCGGGCACGACCCCCTGGCCGCCCCCTCCCCCATCCTCCCTGGACACACGCGCACGCAGGTGCAGCCCTAGCTGCGCCGGCCACCGGCCGGCAGATACTCTGGCCTCGCCCCTCCGCGACCCGAGGTCCAGCCGTGCGGCCGGTGGGGGCCGGGGCGGAGCTGGCGGGCGGCCCTGGGCGCGAGGCCTTGCCCTCGGTGGCCCAGCCCCCACCCCCCATTCACTGAGCCGCGACCGTGACTCGCTGCCCGGTGACGTGAGGACGGCCCAACTTTACGTAACCCGCCCGGCGCTCAGTGTCCACACAGGGTACACCCGGGGTGCGGAGGCCCCGGCGTTGGGCGCCGCTCTCCAGTCACGGTGCCCCCTTAAAGAGCGCTGTGGCTCCAACTCCCTCCCGCCCCCTGCCCGTCTCTGTAACTTAGTTACCCGGTGTGCGTGGACTCAGCCTACCCGCTGACCCAGGGCCCTTGTGACCCAAGGGCTTACCCTTGACAAAATGCGGTGGGGAGCTGGGGCCAGGGGGTTGGAAGTCAGGGCTCAGGTTGGTGCAGGGGGCTCCGGGGACAAGGTTAGGGCTCAAGCTGGGTTCCGGGTGGGTTGGCGGTTCCCCCAACTTTTGGAATGAGTCCGAAATACGAGGTAGGAGATCCTGGGTCCAGGCCTGGCTCTGCCATGGCTTCCCGGCTGAACTTGGACAAGTTTGTCCCTTGCTGGAAAGTGGGATGGCAAGCCCTGCTTCGTCCAGCCTCTGGGACGACCAAGGGAGCAAGCAGACCTGGGGCGGGGTCTGCAGGCCCTGAGGAGTGTACACACCAGTCTCTGGGTTGATTTCATCCCCCTGCCTCCTCGCGGGAGCTGGGGGCGGGGACGGCGCGGAAACACCATGTTTGGGTGGAAGGCTGGAGGCCTCGCTCCCTGCTGTGGCTCCCAGCCTGCCTTCCCTCTTTCTCACAGATGAGGAAGCTGAGGCTCAGAGGACAGTGATACACCCACCTGCACGGAACTTGGTCGTTGCGGTGCACTAACCAGGTAGGTCTGAGTCTGGAGCTCTGACCCTGGGCAGGGTCTCCTAGCTGCAGGCAGGGGTCAGATGCCAGGGTGAAGGTTAGATGGAGTTGGGGAGAGGGAGTTTGGGCTACCGAAAGGATTTGGTTCAGCTGGAGATGTGAGATGCAGCTCTCCTATCGCCCCCCCCCCCCCCCCCCCCCCCCTTTTTATTGACACACAGGTGCACACACAGATTAATCACCCCCCCCCCACCTGGCTTTTTCCTTGATTGGGGTTGGGTGCAGCTGCCGCAGGTGGGAGCGGGTGTGAAGTTTCAGTGTGGTATACACGACGGTAGGTGGGGGCTGTGAGGGCAGGGGAAGAGGGTCCTTAGCAGAAGAACCGGAGAAGGAGACGAGTCTCAGCGCGGGCTACCCGCTGCCGCTAGATCCGGGATGTGGGAGGCGTTTTGGGGAGAGAAGCGAGCTGTTGAGGAGTGGCCTGGAGGGCCGGTCAGAGGCTGGGGGTAGGGGGGCAGCTACGAGAGAGGCCCAGCCAAGTGGGGGGGCTCCGACGGACACCCCCGTCTCCCGCCTGAATCCTCGACAGTCACTGGACTCCCTCTGCTCGCAGGTGGTCGGCCCCCGGGGGCCTATGCCGTGAGGTGAGGACGCCCAGCCAGCATGCCGTGGGACGCGCGACTGCCGGGGGGCGGCGCGGAAGGCGGGCCCGAGGGCGCGGGGGCGGCGCGCTCCAGGGCGCAGAAGCAGTGCCGCAAGTCGTCGTTCGCCTTCTACCAGGCCGTGCGCGACCTGCTGCCCGTCTGGCTGCTGGAGGACATGCGCGCCAGCGAGGCCTTCCACTGGGACGAGCGCGGCCGCGCCGCCGCCTACTCGCCGTCCGAGGCGCTTCTCTATGCGCTCGTGCACGACCACCAGGCGTACGCGCACTACCTGCTGGCCACCTTCCCGCGGCGCGCGCTCGCGCCTCCCAGCGCCGGATTCCGCTGCTGCGCGGTGCCGGGGCCGCACGTGGCTCTGGCGGTGCGCTACAACCGCGTGGGCATCCTGCGCCGCATCTTGCGCACCGTGCGTGACTTCCCGGCCGAGGAGCGCGCGCGCCTGCTCGACCGCCGCGGCTGCAGCCGCGTGGAGGGCGGCGGCACAGCGCTGCACGTGGCCTGCGAGCTGGTGCGCCCCGAGTGCCTCTTCCTGCTGCTCGGCCATGGCGCCTCGCCGGGCCTGCGTGACGGCAACGGCCTGACGCCGCTCGATGGCGCTGTACACGCCCGTGGACGCCGCCGGCTCGGCCCGCCGCGAGTTGCTGGGCGACCGGCCGCGCTGGCGGCGGCTGCTGGGTGAGGAGAAGTTCCAATGGCTGGCGGGCCTCGCGCCGCCCTCGCTCTTCGCGCGCGCCATGCAGGTGCTGGTCACCGCCATCTCGCCCGGCCGCTTCCCTGAAGCCCTGGACGAGCTGCCGCTGCCGCCCTTCCTGCAGCCGCTGGACCTCACGGGCAAGGGCTAGACCGTGGGGGCGCCCCGGGCCCTGGACTTTTGGAGCATACAATTTTTAAGAGCGTTGTACCTGGCACTTTACATATAATTGTTTCTGGACGGCAGAACCTCTGTTTGCGTCTGTCGGCGTGCTTTGGGGGGCCAGGCCAGCATGGGCAGGCGAGCCGTGAGCTGCGGGGCTTCCGGATGCGGCCGGGCTCAGCTCCCCACCTCCCTACCTCCCTGCGTGCGTGGAGCAGTGCTGCGAGGTCAGGCGACTTCCGAGAGCCGGGCCCTGTCCTCAGCTCCCTGCCCAGACCCGAGAACCGGCGCCCTGCCTTGATTTAGAGCCTCCGGGAAGCTGTCCCAGAGGGAGAGACAGCTGAGCGGAGGAGGGGTTGGGCAGGTGCCGGGGGCCGGCTTGTGCAAAGGCCTAGAGGCGGAGGGTGCTGGCCGGAGCGCCTCTGCCCTGTCAGCCAGAGGGGCCTTGTCCCTGTGGGCTCGGGCTCGGGTCCTGAGAGCTTGAGGACGGAGGAGGGCCCGCGCGACAGGTGGTGGGGGCAGGACCGAGGCCGCGCCTCCTGTTTCTCCCCACCCTACACTGGCCACTGCCGCTCCTTGGGTGTCGTTGGAGCGCTTCCCAGCACGCAGGCCTAAGGCCTGGACTCATCCTCTTGTCCCCTTCTCTCTAGCAGCTGGTGCCAGGGCCCCTGCTTCTCACCTCTGCTCTTATGGATGCTGCTGCCTTGGGTCCCGGGCCCCCAGCTCCAGCTTCTCCTGACCCAGGGTTAGATGTGCCTTTCTCCAGGCCTGCCTGCTCACCCTGGGCATGGGCTCCCAAGACCCAGCCCCTGGTGTTCGATGGCACCTGTGGATTCTGGCAGCACCCTGTGGGCAGGTGCTCCTGCCTCAGCCGGTAGAGCTGGCTCCTGCAGGAAGGGTTTGAAGATGGAGACTTGCTGGCAGATGTTACCATGGCCCTTAGGGACCAAGGGAAAGCAGTGCACATGCCCGGAGGAGAACTGGGATCAGGGACGATGGCCAGGTTGTCGTGCCTGGGATTCTGCAGGGCGGTGAAATTCAACCTGTGCTGGCTGGGCTGGAGGGCCACGATGTGCTGCCAGGAGCAGAGGGCTAAGGAGCTCCCCAGTGAACTCTGACTGCCCACCTTGCCCCCGGCGTCCCTGAGAGGAGCCTGGCTGGGGGCGGGAGAGGCTTGGAAGGTGGCGGCAGTGCCAGGGTGGTGGCTGCGGGAAGGGAGGAGAGGGATGGGAGCTGCCTGGTTCTGGTCTGTATCTGGCACATCTTCTCAGGGTGACTTTGGGCATATCCCTGCCTTGGCCCTCAGTGTCCCTGACTGCCCTCAGAGGGGTTTTGGAGCATCTCCAAGCTCCCTAAAAGGATGTTCCTGGGAACTGTAGGGTGGGCAGGGGCACAGCCCTGTGGGGGCGGGGACCGTGGAGGGCGGTGGGGCCCAGTGCCGACCCTAGATTCTGGGTGGGGGTGAGGGCTTCGCCCTTCCCACTGTGTGTCCTGGCCCAGTTAAACAGCCTTTCTGAACCTTGACACTTAGCGGGCAGTGGACACTAACATTTCTTCTACCTTAGAATGTGGGGCATCAGGAGCCCTGGGGTATGAAGACCGGGGCTGTGTTGCTGGGGGAGGCACACTCCTTGGAGGAGATGGCAAGTGCAGACCACGTGCTGTGGCTCCTGGGGGCCGGGCTCGGGAGGTACTGGGGACTTGGGGTGCCCTTGTGCCCTGGAGCTTCCGCCTGGAGAGAGCCCGGGCACCTGCAGGGTGTGCAGACTTGCCCTCGTGTCTCCCTGCTTCCGGCTCTGTCCTCTGTGGGGTGAGCCCTCCTGGCTCGAGGCCCAGAGCTAGGCCCTCATTCGCTTCCCCGCTAGACCTACAGCTGCCCCGTTGGTGACAAACTCCTGTGAGCTCCTTGGGCTGAGGATGGGGTGGTTCAGGGTTGGGGGGCTCCCTGGTGGGGACCCCACAGAATCCATCATCCAGTGAGCAGGAGGTGGCCCCTGGGAGGCTCCTTGTGTGCAGGGCAGGATCCGGGCAGGAGTTGTGGACACCAGAGCGGGGGTGGGGGGTCCAGCCAGAGCCCAGCTTCATAGCTTGGGGGGTGGAGGGCGCCTTGGGGGGTGGGGCGCAGTGGGGGTGTCCTCGCTGTGGCTGGGCCAGTCGGGGAGCCATGGGGAGGCCGAGGACACCCTGCGGCGGCAGAGCGGGGCCTGGGGCCGCCTGGCTCAGGGCGCCCTGGTGTCAGCGGAGAACCCGGAGCCCAGTGCGGGGTGGAGACGCCTCAGGGTTATCTGGCTGCTGCCGCTGGCCGGCGCGTGGGTGGCCGGGCCCATGCTCGTCTTACTGCTCCCCGGGGCCCTCCAGCGCCAGCAGGGGCCCCTCCCCAGCCCCATCACCACCGCCGCCCTGGCGATGAACTCTGGGGGCCTGGAGGGGCCAGAGGCAGGCGGGAGACGCGGCTCTCCGCTGTTGGTGGGTGGCCCTGGCGGCTTCTCACAGGCAACGGCTCTGCCTGGAGCAAGGCCCACGTCTCTGGGGCAGAGTTCCTCTGTTTGCTTCCTTCATTCCATGGACCTTGTCTAAGGAAAGCTGGCATCGGCCAGATTTCCTCCAGCATGCCCACCCCTGGGCTTGGTGAAGTCCCAACCAGGAGAGCTCTGGGGCCAGAATCTGGGCACCCCAGATGCCTGTCGGGGAGGTGCTGTGACTTGTTCCTGGAGCCTGGAAGGGACACACAGCCCCGAACTGTGCCCCCTTTTGGCAGTGGTGATGCAACCACACGCTGGGGCCTTGCTTTGCCGCCTCGTGTGCTGACTTCTCCCATCACTACCTCGATTTCTCCGCTGATTTCCTTTCCTCCTGATTTCTTCAACCTTCAAATATTCTGAGAGCAGTTTTCCCCAGTCCTGTTCAGAACAAGGATGCCTCCTGAAAGGCAAACGTGGAGGCATGCCTGGGGAAGGCGGTGGAGAACCAGCTTCTGCTCCAGGAGACCCAAGTGGATGTGGGGACTGGTTTTGTCCCATTGTTTTAAAATTGAGGCATGACTGACATATAATAAATGCAGACTTCAGTTGTGTGGCTTGAGGAGTTAGGTCTGCTGTCAGTACAAGTGTAACCATCCCAATCAAGAGAGGTGAAGAGATTTCTATCTTCAGTGGTTTTTCTTGGCCATGGCTTGGGGGTATTTAGTCCCTACCCCAGGGATGGAACCTGTGCCCTGGCAGTGGAAGCTCGGAGTCCTGGACCCCTAACCACTGGACTGCCAGGGGATTCCTATATCTTAAGTGATTTTAAAAAGAAAAAATTTTTGCTTATAGATGCAGGCTCATAGAACACTCAGACTGTGCCAGAAAACCCAGGGCAGGATGGATCAGAGCCCTGACCGTGCAGCTCCCCCCAAGTATAAGGGCCGCCTGCCTGCGGGCACCCCACCACCCAGGCGACCACTGCGCACATTTTGGTGTATTCTAGTTTTTTCTATGCACTTAAATACATATGCTAAAAATTTTTTCTATGCTTATTTCTTACATACAGATTTGACATCAGATCAAATTGAGTGTTTAAAAACTTAACTGTAGAAGAAGCATTTCCATATGTTGTAAAACATTTGTAAGACAGCCTCCGGTGTTTCTTTTGTGATTATTTAATTCAACTAGTGTTGGTATGATAAGGAGTTGATGTTAGAGAGGACTGAGTCTTTAAAATGTAAATTTTATTTATTTTTGGAATAAATAATACATTTACATGGCTCAAATTCAAAAGATACAAAAAGGTACACTACAGGCGACCACCAGCCACCAAGGCCAGCTGCGTGTGTAGTGTCTGCCCCTCCTGTGTCCCCTGGGATTACTATGAAACGTTGCAAACCCACCAGAAGTTAGAAGAGAGAAACGCAGACACGTGTGTCATCTTACTCTGTGTATGAAGTCCTACAAAACCACATTCTCCTTACCACGCCCAAGAGATTTAGCGTCGATACAGTGAAACTGCCTAAGACTGCTCAGCAGATTTCCTCCAGGGGCACACGCGTTTGTAACAGCTGCGTGCTGTTTGAGAGGGATGTTCCCAAGTGTCAGCTGCTGTCAGTCAGCTGTTTTAGTGTTTCACAATTCCCACGGATGCCGCAGCCGTACGCCTGACTTAGGTTTGTTCTCGGGGACAGGTGTCTGGAAGCCGGGGTCTACGGGTGTGAGGGTTGTAAGGCTGCTGCCGGGCTGTTGGCCGCCTTCCCGGGAGGGCCGAGCCGGGCGCCACCAGCCCTGCGTGTGCCCTGGGGGCTCGGAAGGCCGTGTCCTTTCACCTCTGGTCACGGGGGTCTCAGGTGTTCCTCCGACTTGCTGCAGTTGTTTCCCCTTTTAGTTTTAAGTGTGTGTGTGTTTTTTAATGTATAGGATTGTTATAATTTGAGGAAATCAATTGAGGAAATAATAAACTATTTTCCTCTGACTTTTCCCACCACTTTGGAGTTTAGAAAGCGCTTGCCATCCAGAAGTCAGTTACTGTCCTTTGTCCCCAGGTTTTAAGATCCTCTCGTCCACTTGGTATCTGCTTCACCCAAGCGGTTAGGCTGAGGTCCACGCCAGCTCGCAGTCGCCTCCCCCACCTCCATCTGGCTAATGGCCCGTGGGCCCTGCTGGGCTGCCCCATGTCACCGCTGGCCCACCCACGGCCTGCTTCATTCGGGGCCATCGTCGCTCAGCACCGCTCACCTGTTTCTTCCCAGCAAGGCCTGGAGCCCACGGAGCTGGGTCCAACCCCAGCGCGCGCTGTGCCGCCTCCATCAACTTCCCCTCGCCGGGTCTCACTGGAGCCCCAGTGAGCTGGGAGACCCTCAGAGCATGCCTGTGGGCACAAATGTTATTTTATGGAGTCTTCTCTGCCTCCCCCAACAAAAAGAATCCCAGTGGGGAGTTTGACAAATGGAGAGAAACCCATAGATGCTTTTGGAGAGGACTGATGTCTGCACCGTGTCTGTGGCTTGCCCTCAGGAATGTTGGCCACACCTTCCCGGTCAAGCTTCATGGAAGTCTTCCATAAAGCCTGGCTGGCTCTTGACTGAGTGACGTGTCTTACTCAGGTAGTTTCCTGGCACGCAGCCATTCTGCTGTGTCATGAACACGCTCTTCTCCCACCTGCTGGTTTCCACCAGGGCACTTCTGGTATCTGCTTTTGGGTCGTGGGTGGAGATTCAGGCCCGTGGTCTTGCCCTTAGAGCCTGCCCCCAGGGGCGCCTCTGGAGTGACACTCCGCAGGGCCGCCCCCGGCACACCCTCCTGGCGGGGGGCTGGGCCGGGAACACGGCAGCAGGTTCTCGGAGGCACCGGCGGGAACAGCCTGCAGGAGCGCCACTCAGGGCGGCTTCTCTCTCAGACGTCAGACTGGACTAGGCGGGGAGAGGCAAGTTTATTGCACTGTCTCAAAGCACAACTGGAAAACCAGAAACTGTACAAAGCACTGAAGCTACAAGTCACTGGGAAGTATCAAACCAGACGGGTCTCATTGCACTGAAGCCCCGCAGGTTCGGCGGAGCTCTGCCGAGCGGGGAGAGGAGCCGGGCAAGGCACAGCGGGCGCAGGAGAGGGGCCTCCGCTGCCGGCACGCGTGAGGGGCTCTGTCGGGGTGAGGGCTGAGGTGCGGGCGGGCGCTGCGGCTTCTCGTCCTTAGGTAGACCTGGGAAAGCTCCGTCCTCCTGGCTGGCTGGGTCCTGCCACAGAGCATATCTTATCGTTTTTCACCTGTGGCCCAGGGGCTCTCGGACACGCCTGCCTAGTAGAAAACAGGCATCGAGTAACAGGGCCCTGCGCCAAGGGCAGGCTAAAAAAAGCAGCTCGGCCGGAGTCGTGCCAGGGCGGCTGCGGAGGGAGGGGCGGCAGGGGCTGCTGCTCTGGGCCAGCAACGCAAGTGGGCCCCTCAGGCCGAGGCCCCGGACTGAAGTCTGGGATGGCCCACGCAGCAGCTGACCACACAGGCACCAGCAGCGGCCCTGGGAGGGCATCCACCCTCCCAAGGTGGATGCCGCAGACAGGCTGGCGCTGCTGGGAGTCGGCGGCAGGTCCTGGGGCTGCCCTGCCTGGGGAGGACACGCAGTGGAGAATAGCGTGGGCTCAGGAGAGACCACGAGAAGGGGCGAGAGGCCTTCCACTGGGTCCAGAAAATACATTTCAAACTTGTAAGATCGGATTTCAGATGAGGTATCTCATGTAGGTTTGTAATACAACAAACAGAAAAGGCCATCATTAGCAGGTTCGCCCTCTGAGGGTGCTCGGGTTTCTGCGATGCCCCCAGCAGCGCGGCTGAGTGTCACTGAGACGTTCCTACGTCACAGCGGGGCTGGGGCACCACGGCCGGCCCCGCGCCTGGGGTTCCCGCGCACACGTCGGGTTCCGTTCGCCCACCGGCCTTTATTGCTTCGGCCAAGCTGTGTCTGCCAGGGCGGGCCTGGCCCCAAGGCGGGGTGCGTGCGTGCGCGTGCGTGCATGTGTCGTGTGCGTGCGTGTGCCGCGTGCCCCCGTCCTGGCACAGCTGGCTTCCCATCTGGTGGGTCCGCGCAGAACGTGTGCCGGGAACCGCGTATCATAATAGAGGGGAGGGCTCCAGTGGGAGCACGCTCGGGAGCCAGCAGCGCTGACCTCGGGCTCGGGGCGGCTAGTGCTGAGGCGGCGGCTATGGCGCACGGCAGGGACTGCAGTACATGCAACTGCAGTCGCTGCCGGCCCCACCCGGGACGGCCTCCGCGGGAGTCCCGCTGCTGCCATGACGGCTCGGACCCTCGGCCGAGGCTGTGGGTTCTGGGAGGAGACTCAGATGAACACGGATGAAAACGAGTGGGCTGTCCGACCTGCCTAGACGTGTCTGATGGGGGCTGCGAGGCGTGTCCAGGGCGAGTGACTCAGAAGCCGTCTGTTTCCCCGCTCAGGGTGCCACGTCCGCCCTCCTGGGAGAACCTTCAGATGACCTCCCACTCATCCTCCAGGTCCTCGGGGTGGGGGGTGGCAGCGTGGCTGCCCTGGGCGCCGTGCGAGTGGCTGAACGTCCTTGTCAGCCGCTGGAGGAGGTAGCCGGGCGGGCCCACTGCCCACAGCTCGTCCGATGAGGTCACTGCAGGGACGAGAGCCGGCCACACGCCTGTTACTCCCCAGCTGGGGCTCCACCTCCGCAGGCACTGTCTAGGGGTGGCCCCGGGCACCCCTCAACCTGTGCCGTCGCCTCCTCAGCCTTCCAGCGGGCGGAAGGCTCCTCCTCTTCCTGGGAGACCCTGGCAGTCGGTGCTGGGCGCCCATCAGGCGTGACCCTGGGACGGGTCTTGTTTGGGAGAACCAGCCTACTGGGAGCAGCCCCCCCGAGACCCCCCCCCCCCGCACCACCCATGGTGCCCAGCACCCAGCACCTGCCTGTGACACACATCACGTTCCCCGGGATCTTCTTCCAGTAGTCCCCGGCAGGGTTCTTGTCGCTGACGCCGTACCGTCGGGCGAGGTCCCCGTTGGGACAGCGGGCCCACACGGTCCTGGCGCTCAGGGCCAGCTGGCAGGCCTGCAGCCCTGCAGGCAAACGGGGTGTGCGTCTGTCTTCAGACCCTGGGTGCAGAAGGGATGGACCGACCCTCCCCGAGAGCCTGCTTCCCCTCCCCACCACCCCGGGCACAGGGAGGGAGCCCCGGGAAAGGATGCCCCGTTGGCAGAGCAGGTGTGGCTGTGAGCATCGGACCAGAGGCCCTGGCGGTCGGGAAACGACCGTCCTGCAATGAACCCCAGGGATCGGGAGGCAGTGCTCTGCTGGTGGGGTCGCCACCCTGGGAGGACGGGGGCAGACGCCTGCTGTCGGCGGTCTGACAAGCCCTGTGTGGCCGCTGCCTGCCTGGCACTGCTACCTGGCACGTGCTCCCAGTCGGTCCCCACTGGCATCTCCTCGGTGATCCCAGCTCGGACATGCACGTTCCACCTGCTGTCCAGGGCCCACAGCGTCTGGTCGTCGGGGCTGCAGTGGACGCTGACCAAGGTGACCCCAGCGGGCTGGAAGTAGGGAAGGAGGTGGGGGCATGCGGTTACAGGGGGGATAGGTTCCCCCCAGCCCGCGGCAGCCTGGCACAGCGGGAGCAGTGGGCACAGAGGCAGCCCTGCAGGGACAGAGGTGCCCAGCAGACCCAGACTGAGGGGTGTCCCCCCAAACATGGAGCCTGGCTCTCCAGCGGCTGTCTGCCCTGCGCCCAGCGGTGGGCCGGGTGATGAGAAGGAAGGGGTGCCGGGAGAAGACGCGTGGGGTCTGGGGCCACGTGGGGGGGTGTGCTGCATGCAGGCGGCGACAGACGGTGGGGGCCACCGGGGAGGGAGGTGGCGGGGGTCTGGCCTCTGAGGGCGCTCACAGGGTCATGCTTGGAGAGAGTACACGTGGCCCCATGCGGGCGTGACTGTGGGTGAGTCTATCAGAGTTTACCAGTACCTGCCCGAAAGTTTGCTTTTTTTTTTTTTTTGGCTGCACCGGGCTGCATACGGAACTTCCCTGACCAGGGATCGAACCTGCAGCCCCTGCAGTGGAAGCGCAGGGTCTTAACCACTGGGTCAGCAGGGAAGTCTGCTGCCTCTAAGTTTTCTGTTAGTCTGAAGATTTCAAAACTAAAGCTTAATCTTAGATAAAAGTCACCAAAAAATGCACTTGCTGTCGAGTGTGTTGGGACAGAGTGCCCCTGGGGAGGAGGCAGGTGACCCCGTCCAGGAGCTCCATCTAAGGGGGCGCTGGTCGGGGAGGGGGCTGAGGCAGGGTGTGGGAGGGTGGTCTCCTCATTCATGCCCCAAGCCCCTCTCTTCTGCCATTTGTCAGGCAGATGGGGCCGGGCCAGCCAAGAGCGGAGCTGCCAAGAGCATCGCAGGACACTAGCTGGCAGGTGGGGCAGCCAGAGACCCTGCTCAGCACACCCCATCCCACAGAGGGTGAGGCGCTCGGGGAAGGGATGCTTACGCTGCAAAGCAGGCCTGAGCGGAGACGGTGGGGCTGCGTCCTCACGGTGCTCTGAGAGTACCAGGGCCACTGACACGCCCTGGGGACCCCGAGCCGGCTGGGGGGGGGGGAGCACGTGCTGACCACAGCCCGCAGCACTCTGTCCATGAGGTGCAATCAGAACTCCCTGGCTGGGAGCTGAGGTGCCCCCTAAATCCTCTCAATTCAGAAGGTCAGCAGGAAAAGGGTCCCTGCCTTCCCACGTCAGCTGGGGCCGTGAGCTCCTCGGCCCCACTGAGACGGGGTCTGCGCCCAGCCTTGGAACCCCGTCTGTCACTTCTTGGACTAAAAGAACACAACGTCAATGTCGAGGAGGCAGGGCTGAGCCTGGTCTGGAGGGGCGGGCAGTCCTGGCTCCTCCTCTCAGGGCGGGCGTGAGGTCTGCGGTGTGGGCGTCCCGAGGAGGGAGAGAAGGATGCGTGGCCCCCAAGGCCCCGCTGCGGTGAGGCAGAGAGGAGTGGGTCCACGCTGCACTCTGCCCACACCCCAGGCCCAGCCTCCCGAGAGGTAACAGCTGTCAGCTGCGGTCGGAAGACACGGACTTTCGGGGCCGTGTGTTGTGGATGAGCAGAACATGGAGAGACAGACTGGAAAGCTGTGCTGGGGTGGGGGCACTGGGAAAGAGAGGAGGGCGGGGAGGAGGGAGGAGGGGGACCCCCACCCCCCACCCCTCTGCTCTCCGTCCTCGGGCTCCCCAACCCCCTGGACTGCTCTGAGCTAACACAGGCCCCCTTGGCCCCTGCCCCGCTGCCCGTCGGCAGCCCCCTCAGGGCACTGTGGGCCCAGAGCACAGGTGTGGGACTGGGTCCCCGCCACCTGGAGAGCCAGGCGGACAGTCCTCAGCAGCGTGCCCCGTCTCCACGGCCTGCCCCTCGCCCACGGGGTCGGCTGGAGCCCACCCTCCTCAAGTGCCTCCCCACCAAGCTCCCTTCCTGCGTCTTCAGTCTCCTATTAAAGTGACCAACCCAGACAGCGTATTAAAAAGCAGAGACATCACTTCTCCAACGAACGTCCCTCTAGTCAAAGCTGTGGTTTTTCCAGTGGTCCTGTACGGATGTGAGAGTTGGACCATAAAGCAGGCTGAGCACTGAAGAACTGATGCTTTCAAACTGTGGTGCTAGAGAAGACTTTTTTCCCCCCTTAAATGAGAACCGTTACTCCAGGTGTCGCAAACCGTTTACAACACTTAGGGAAAACCATTTATCCACGTGTCTAAGGACAGAGTGGGGGTGGCGGCTGCTCCCTGAACCCCGGTCACCACAAGGGGGTCCCTTCCAGAACCTGTGGGTCCCCCATGGCATCCCCCCTGGCCTCTGGCCTCGGTCAGTTGGTCGATCACGGGGCCCAACACAAGGATGGCGGTGGGCCGGGTCCCGGGTGCCCGCGGGCCGAGAGGAGAAGCCCAGCAGCGTGCCCGCCGTCACTGGTGCCCGTCTCTCTTCCCAGCGCTTTAAATCCTCCTGAGGCACCTTGACCGGAACAGATGGTGACGGCACCCTGTGGCCGTAGGCCCGCCTCTCTCTCGGAGGTTCTGGGTGGGCCTCTGCGTGCTCAGAGCAGACTTCCATGGCGTTTCCTTCCGAGGGCACCCGGTCCTCCCCCACGGCTTCTGTTGACACCTGCGAGCTGGGCCTCCGCTTTTCCCTGGCTTAGCAAGGCGGGAGTCTGCAGGGTGAGGGGGCGCGTCACAGGTGCTTCTCACGGTCTCTGCTGGTCCCAAACGCCTCCATGCAGTCCTCCACCCGGCTCTGGTACATGTCCTGTGCCCGGCCGGGATCTGGAAGGCGGGGCGTGCCACTCCAGGACGCGGGCGTCCAGCGGGTGACCGGAGGGGAAGACCCGCCTGCAGAAGGAGCAGACGTGTCCGTGTGGAGTGTGGTTGTGGCGCTCACGGTCTTCCAGGGCGTCAAGCACCTGGCAGCAGCCGGCCGCCGACAGGTGAACTAGCACGCCGGGCCTCTTGGGCTCCCCAGCCGCCTGCGTGAACACATCCTGGAGGGAGAGGTGTCCCTGTTCTCAAAGAGCTCGTGCTCCCGTGGGAAACAGAAGGAGCGTGGTCCCGGCCAGGGGGTCCCACTGCATGGGCAGTGGCTCGGCCGTTCCAGGCACCCCCGCCAGGCGGGCAGGCTGCACCTGCATCGCCCTGCGTGCCAGCAGCACCACAGCCTATATTGGCCACTGTCTGCGAACCAGCCGAGGCACGGCTGGAGAAGACTCTTGAGAGTCCCTTGGACAGCAAAGAGGTCAAACCAGTCCATCCTAAAGGAAATCAGTCCTCAATATTCATTGGAAGGACTGATGCTGAAGCTGAAGTGCCAATACTTTGGCCACCTGATGCGAAGAGCCAACTCATTTGAAAAGATCCTGGTGCTGGGAAAGACTGAAGGCAGGAGGGGAAGGGGTCGACAGGATGAGATGGTTGGATGGCATCCCCGACTTAATGGACATGAGTTTGCGCAAGCTCCAGGAGATGGTGATGGACAGGGAAGCCTGGCGTGCTGCAGTCCATGGGGTTGCCGAGAGTTGGACATGGCTTAGCAACTGAACAAAAGTGGCTTCAACGAACACCCCCCACCCTACCTGCACGACACAACCAGAATGCGCAGTGAGGCATCTCAAAGGCCGTCTCTCTGGGTGGCTGGTGTGAGCAGCCTGTTGAGAACCAGAATGTGGACAGCCTCTCGAGGGCTCTGAGATTGGAGGTATTCAGACAGACAGAGGTTTGGAAACACATCCGAGGACAGATGGCAAGAAACAAGATGCGATGATAAGAAGGCCTCCCAGCTGAATCGAGGACTCAGTGCAGGTCTGACGGGCACACCGCCCCAGCCTCCAGGAGAAGAGGGGTTAAGCTGGAGGCAGCAGCGAGCAGACAGACGTCTGCCCAGCCAGAGTCCATGACGGACACCCACCTTCTGCCACCTGCCCGGAGAGCTCCCGAACATAGCCCGGCAGAGGTTGCTTCACAAAAGTCACTGGAACAGGTTTCAATCACCTGACTCCCGTGGTCAAACAGGGCCAGAGCGCTGAGAGGGGCTGAACAGGAGGCGGCTGTGAAGACGGCTCTCCCACAAGCTGGCCATCTCAAACTGGGAGGCTCACTCCTGCTGAACCCCAGACCCTCCCGAGGAAGATGAGTAAGACCACAGTGGTTCTCAAAGCTTGGAGTCCCGGGGGCTCGTGCGCAGACCTTGTGAAACCGGCACCCTTCTGGGCCGGGGGTCGGACCTTCCACATCAGACTCTGGGGCTGGAGCCCAAAAGGGACGTCTCACACAAGCTCTCCAGGTGACGTGGGCTGCAGCCTTCTGTAAAACACCGCTCTGCTCTACGGTGCAGAAGCAGGCAAGGCAATACCACTCAAGACCATCTACAGGTCTGAACGCTATCCCTATCAAAAACCCCAACTAGGGTTCACAGAGAAAGGAAAAGCTGATCCTAAAATTCACATGCAATTGCAAGGGACCCTGAACAGCCAAAACAATCTCAGAGAAGAACAGTTGGGGATTTCCCTGGTAGTCCAGGCAAGAATCTGCCTAGCAGTGCAGGGAATGATTTGATCCCTGGTTGGGGAACTAGGATCCCACAGGTGTGGAGCACCTAAGCCTGTGTGCCAGAGCTACTGAGCCCAATGCGGCAACTAGAGTCTGTGTGCCTCAACGCAAGATCTTGTGTGATGCAACAAAGACCCGCTGCAGCCAAATAAAGTTAAGTATTAAAGAATACGCTTGGAATTTCAAAACTACTATAAAACCACAGTGATTAAACTGTCATACTGACATAAGGACAGACATGTAAATCAATGGAACGGTATTGAGAATTCAGAAATCCATATAGTCAAGTGATTTTTGGCAAGGTTGCCAAGATTATTCAATAAAAAGAGCGGTATTCAACAAATGGTACTGGTACAAGTGGAGAGCAGACACATAAAAGAACGAGGTTGGATCCTTACTTCACAGCGTATATAAAAATAACCTGAGATGGATCAAAGGTCAACATAAGAGCTAAATCTCATAATG